TTTAAAAAATGCGTTTCTAAAGTGCATAAACATTTGGGATTGACTGTATAGCCAATACATCCTTAATTCAAACTCATCATCGAATTGCAGATATTATTTTATTAAGATTCAATATGCAGAAATAATAAATGCTATTTGGAATTAAACAATTAAAAATATCCAAGCATGAATATTTCAATGTTTAAATGATGAAGATAATGTTTATCTAAAATATCTTTTAAACTGAGACTATATACGTCTTATTAAAAAAACTCTGCAGTCTACTCATCGTTGATATAAAGAAATTTTCATTTCCAGGTAACGTGAGATACATCTGGACGTCCGGGCGCAAGTGCAACTTCAACGGCTGCGACAGACCAGATCTCCAACCGCAGAATATTAACGGTTGGTTCTGGTCCGGTTCCGGAGCCAAGATCGGGCCGACTACTCAACGGAATACCGGAGACTGGAGTCACACCGGTGGATACGGACAGGCGCAACCCGACAATCGCGAAGCTGCTCAGGTAATTTATTTTCATTCATTCGTTTCGCGTTATTCTTCAATCATCCATCGAATCTTTAAGTAAATAAAATAATCTACACGTTCATGAAATCCCTTCAATATTCAGTAGCATATACGAAATAAAAAAAGAACAAAGTAATGCCTATTGTATTTCAATATTTGTTGAAAATCATACGAATTGCGATTATGGTCCCAAGAAACTGTTCCGTATCGAGTTCCTACCTTATCGTTCCAGCGAATACAGAACCTCTGCACCAACCAGCATAGAATGCAACAAGAAATGAAATTCACAAACAAATTTTTAATTTTAACGACGATGATGTATCTTTATTTTTATGGATCGTAGGATCGAGGGATTTTCATGGAAATAAATTTGTTACAGGGCAACGACGAGTCCTGCTTGTCGATCTTAAACAACTTCTACAACGACGGCATCAAATGGCACGACGTAGCTTGCCACCATCGAAAACCATTCGTCTGCGAGGACAGCGACGAGTTATTGAATTTCGTCGCCTCTAGAAACCCAGGCATCCGCCTTTAAAGTCCCCCCCAGCTTCTGTCGATTCTTGAATGTTCAAAACCTGAATTCGTTCGACTGCGAACTTCTAATTTATTACGATTCGATCTCAAATTCAATTTGTTTCTATTAATTGGATACGAAATTTCTACATTTTTCGAATATCCTACTTGGGTATTGAACAATCAAGGGTTTTAGGTTTTAGATCGAGTAGACCCGACCCTCCATCTAAGTTTAACTTTTGTATTCTTTTTTCTATACAAAATAAAACACATTCGCCATTATGTACGCCGTTATTCCTTTCCTTTTTCCCCAGGAGCAACACGGTTTCACGAATTTTTAGAAAATCTTTATTTTAAAGTATTCTGCTTTGTACCTTACACCTTCAAAGCATACATCCTCGGAGGGAAGGCAGAACGTTTGCGTATTTCTTTAGTGGTCTTCTTCTTCGCTTGGTGTGGCGTCAGCGCCCTCCTCATCGCCCTGGTCTTCTTCGGCCTCAAGTCCAACGGCTTGTACTTGTGGTTTTTGTATAACAGACGGAGGTTCTCCTTCTGCTTCTGGTGCATAATAATGTATACCCTAGCTATGGCCTTCCTCACCACTCGGCTGTAACACGAAACAAAAAACAAAACTTAAAAAACAGAAATTATTCTGTGCTATAATTAAATTATAGTTAAACTCTGATTCAAATCAAGAGTTTTCATGTTAGGCAGTGTCAGGATTTTATATTTTATGAATTCTGAATAAATAAGCAAAGGTCATTGTTTAAGAAAGAATATAGAGACGTACATTTTCGAAAGTTTCGAGGCAGCACCGCCGGTCACCTTTGCCACCCGGAGGTTCGTCAGCTCTGTTTTGAGCTCTTCGAGCTGCTTGAGCAGCTCATGTTTATCTTTCGTCCTTAAATCGGAACACTTAACTTTACCCTGGAACGAGAAGAACGAACACCCACGTTAAAATTGCACTCCTCATGCAATTTGTTGTCTAGAAGGACACGACATTTCCCTTCCCACCGTCGGAGAAAACAATCACTCGAACCAACAGACCAAACAAATAAACTCACGATCTTTAACATTGATTATAATTTTAAATAAACTAATGTTTTTGGTATAACAATGGAAAAATAATTAATTATTAAACGAGCGATGTTATAAAAATTCTAGAAATTCTAATTGAAAGACGAGACATCTTGTTAGACAGGAAAGAGGTTATTATACGTGATTGCTTCTCACAACATTGTACGGTTCGCGAAACTTTTGCGATAATTTAATCCGTGCGGTGGTCGGAAAAATCACTGTCGAACTTCTGAATAATGATTAATCGCGATGTATCGACGGGAAATAGATTTTCACGATTTCACTGACCATCTTGCGGCTGCTGCTCTTCGACGGAAAAAGAACACGAGGCGGGAGACCGCTGATCAATGAGTTAAATAGAATCGAACCAGCGCTCACTCATGAAAACGTTGCTTTATATTCATTAGGATAAAATG